CAATCCAGCGATACGAGCCCGAGTAGGTTTCGAGGATAATCGTAACAATTGGTGTCAGAAGTGGGATTGTTAAATAAATCCCGAAGGATAAACTTTTGAAAATGGCAAAAATTCAGGACTTAAAGATTGAGGAACTCAAACAGGAGTTGGAGAAGCGAAATTTAGCAACCAGCGGAAGAGTGGAAGGAAGAACAGCTACGAAAGTGTCAGCAGGAAGATCCAGATCTGGAGCTTTTGATGCATGGACTGGAGGTGGACAGGAGGCCAACTAAGGAGCAAATGGCAGCGGAAAGCCCCATCGCAAAGGCGTACTGGGCACAATGGAACAGCTTAAAATTAATATCTGGCTGTTTGCATAGGGTATGGGAAAGCGAAGATGGCCAGTGCTCCCGCAACCTGATAGTAGTTCCAAGGGTAAGAATTCCGGATGTACTCAAGGAATTCCACAATGGTCCTAGTGGAGGGCACCTGGGAATCACGAAGACCCTGGAAAAGGTTAAGCAGAGGTTCTATTGGGTTGGTTGTCGGCAATCGGTCGCAGAGTGGATTGCTAACTGCGCGGAGTGTATTGCAGCTAAGGGGCCGAAATCCAGAAGTCATGGCCAGATGAAGCAATATAACTCAGGTGCACCTTTCGAGCGGATTGCCATGGATGTAGCCGGTCCATTTCCTATGAGCGCACAGGGAAACAAATACGTCCTTGTGGTTATGGACTACTTTAGCAAATGGCCGGAGGTATACCCGATTCCAAACCAGGAAGCTAAAACAGTAGCGGAGGTATTCACCTACAATTGGGTTGCGAGATACGGTGTACCTATAGAGCTGCACTCTGACCAGGGAAGAAATTTTGAGTCGGAAGTGTTCCAAGAGATGTGCCAGATACTGGGTATCCGGAAAACTCGAACGACGGCTCTTCATCCCCAATCAGACGGCATGGTGGAACGGTTCAACCGAACCCTGGAAGAGCATTTGCGGAAGGTCGTGGACAAGAATCAAAAAGATTGGGATGTCCGCATACCCTTGTTCCTGATGGGATACCGGTCAGCAGTGCATGAAACAACGGGTAAAACTCCTGCAAGGGTAATATTCGGCAGTGAGCTCCGTTTGCCTAGTGATCTGAAGTTTGGGGTGACTGGTGATGCTAGAAGGATT